TCATTTGAAGAGCTTTTCACCTACACATTGATACTCCTGTTCTATTACCTGGCTCACAAATTTAAGTAATTGCTTCATGCGAAATAATTCCAGCTTCAGAAGCTATGTACTAATTTAAAATAAATATTCACGCTCATTTGCTTTCCGCTACTTATCTCACTGTACCATACTGAGAATAGAGTCCGGCTTTGCTTTGGCTTTATCTTCTGGTTTTATCGAATTTTGCAAACAGTTGAAAAATGAGATTCTTCAGAAAAAGTACATTTCGTCTGCCACAATTGACGAATTTCAATTCGCTAAGTGCTAGTGCATTCACTGAAAGTTCTACAACAACAACATCACCTGTTCTAGAGGGTGATGGGTTGACGGTATATAGTACTGGAGACAAGCCACCGCAGATTGTTTTAGACAACGACAGCATTCACAAAGCCGATATTGCGGTGGAGGCTAAACGTAAATATTGTTTTTGACACGCGCGCTTTTACTAACTGAACGCTTTTTGCGTGCATAAATAACAGATATTTGTCATTAAAATAAAGTGAAATTTAAAACAGAAAAAATCTAAGAATCTAAATAAATAAGTAAAAAGTATACTTTTAATTCGCTGAATAAAGTTGTAATACACAGTCTTTATATTTCGTGTCGCCTACAGCTTAAATTTTTATTTTTCTTGCAGCTCTAGAGGAGCTAGAGCCAATAAAAGATGGCGAACTCCCTGATACCAAATTGACAATCGACGCTGCCAAGTATGAGCAACCGCCAGAGAAACATTGGATTTATCGACGTTTATATATTTTGAATTGGCTGCAGAAATACGATCGTGAAACAGCTATATCCGATTTAATTGCCGGCATCACATTGGGACTCACTATTATACCACAGAGTATCGCTTATGCGGCATTGGCTGGACTCTCTTCAGAATATGGTTTATACTCGGCTATCATTGGTAAGTATCTACCTTTGTGTGGCCAAAACTAAGGTATGTATGTAAAGCACGTAGCTTAAAAGTGGCCCCTTCTTTGATATCGGGCTAACAAGTGCAATCGCATAAGCATTTTTCTTAATTTTGTCCAAATTTGTAAGCTTACTAAATCAAACCCATAAGGTAGATCGTGTCTCCGTCAACCTACGTATACGCTATGTCGTTGACTGTTTGAGCTTTAAGAACTGCAATTTGTGTCCTTTTTTTTCAAAAAAAAAACCGGGGTAACAGTTACTCGTCGCCACGCTGTAAATAGACTACAATTTTTACTTATTTCTTAACTGAAGTAATCCTTCCGTAGACTTTTAATAATCCAACTTGGAACTTATTGTAGGATCTGGTTGATATCATCAATGGATCTACCACCCTCATACATACGTGCCTACCATATCATCGGTATTTTTGCTAGTCTAGAACAAACACCCGATCAGTCGAAACGTCTTCATTCTTTTTTATGAAACAATAGTTCATTATTTTCTATGAAGTGGCGCACTCTATAAAAATAAAAACAAACAAATGCATAAAGTGATTTTACATACCCGGTGGATTTTCATAGAAACAGCTGTTGAAACAAAATCACTGGTATGAATCACCTATTCAGAGAACTATTTGCAACTTTGCGAAACAGACGACCTTTTGAAGAACTTTAGTTATATATTTAAGTTTTCAAACACAGTTAATTCAATACTTAAACAAGTGCAATTCGTTGTTTTGTTTGATTGCAATATGGGCGTTTAGGTCTAGTTAGCCCGATAACTAGGTAAGCGACGACAGGAATGATTAATAAAGCAACGATGAAAACGACGAAAAAAGAAAATTTAAATTTTCCGCGCTTGTGTCCTTCCTTTCCTCAAACGCTGAGCGTTATTTTTTAACTTTTGTTTTTCCTCGCTTCTGCTAAACTTTACTTTACTTTATTGAAATTCTAATGTTTTTTATCGACGCTTTACTGATCGCTTTTGTCATCAATCGACTGCAATCCAAGACTAATACGTACTTTGATTTGTTATTTTTTTTTTTTTTTAGGCCAAATCTTCTATGCTATATTCGGCACAATTCCACAAGTATCAATTGGACCTACCAGTTTGATGTCGCTGATGGTGTTGCAGTTCGTTGGCGATCGTCCTGTACAATTTGTGGTTGTACTCTCATTTTTAGCGGGTCTTGTAGAGTTTCTAATGGGCGCCTTTCAATTGGGTAAGTATTGAATTTAAGTATGGCGGCATATACTTATGTTAACATAAGCATTGCATTGATTTTCACGTCATTTTCAAATCATTTTTTATAAATAAAGATCTCTACAAATTACTAAACTTTGCTATGTTAAAAAAATCTGCGTACACGATTTTTATGCCAAATATAAGTATGAATAATTTGGTTCGAGTAAAGATTTTCGCTAAAAATTAGCTTTTGAAAACTTCCTAATTATATTTTCATTATTCACTTCTATTTGCCAATGTCTGGCTGACTATTTTTCACACCTAGTAAATTGTGTAAGTTTCCAAGTAGAGCCTAGGCACATTGATTTATTTGCAAAATTAAAAATAGCATTCGGGAAATTGAGTTATTAGTACTTCCATTTGTTGTTGGTTTTCAATAAATTTTTACCTCACTGTACAATGAATGTGAAGTTAAAATAGTAGACGTATTAACAGCTAAACAATTGTAAAAACAAGAAAATTTTACAAATAGCCGCTAATTGTTTATTTTATGAGTTATGATGATAGCAATTCACTTGTGTTTGTATGCATATACATATGTACATATGTATGTATGTATCATTGTAAACATCGAATAACTTTGGAAAATCGTAAATAGGAGCGTGAATAAAATAAGTGAGAAGCATTCGAAATGTTATGATACATGGGAATCCCGAATTTAATTTGAATAAATAAACTATATACACTTATAATGAGACTGTGTTACCGCATGTACAGACAAGAAGGAAAACAGCATCAAACATATTAAAATAATGAAAAGAAATCCAGATTACAAACCCTGTGAAATAATTGTTTAGAATCTCAGCCAAACCCACTAAATACATTAGATCAATTCAAAATAAAAAAAAAACCCCGCAATGCGGCTTTACTTTTGGTAATTTAATTTAATTTAATTTGAGATTACTTTTTTGGTAATTTCCGGAATTTTTTCTGAAAGGTTTTTCTTAGGAATCTTAGATCATATTAATGGTAATTCATTTGCCAAGCTAGCAGAACTTGAGAAAGGATTATATTGTAACCTTTCTTCAAAAGATCTTAAGAAAAACTAAGATTATCAAGAGAAATTATTTCTGTATAACCCTGCATCCGAATCGGGCACTGATGTAAGATCAGGTCTATTCTTCGAGATAACTGAGACGATTATCAACCTCTCATATAAGCTACCTTTTCCTGCTTATTCTGCGTTATAGAGGTAGCTTATAGATCTCCCAAACATTAGGCGATAAAACATATCATCTCAGATAGCCCATTAGTAAATATAGAGCTGAAATCATAAGTATAGCTAGCAAATAATCCTTTACTTCAATGTTTCTTTTTATCGCAGATTAAATGAATTTCCGAAATGTTTTGACAGCGTTATACCAAATCCGATTTGTCTCCGAACCAAATATTACAAGATTTGACGAAAATTCGTTCTTAAACACATCAACGTCTCAAACGTGATTGCAAAAACTTACATACTGTTTTTGAAATATTTTTGGGAATTATAAATTCAAAGTTAAAGGCACGTTTTAATCTTCCTTAAATTGATTTATTTTGAAACGAATTCCCATCATCCATTGTTAAGTTTAGTTTTTGTTTTTGCGCAAAATAGATATTTCAATGCTAAGGTTTTATGAACATACGTACTATATCATTATTTTTCCACAAATTTTCTCACCAGGTTTCATCGTGAATTTCATTCCAACGCCCGTGACGAAAGCTTTCACCAGCGCTACCGCTGTCATTGTGGCTGCTGTGCAAGTAAAAAATTTATTAGGTATAAAAACGAAAGGTGTACCATCGATTGAAGTACTGTTCAGGAGCATACGTTACTCGGATACCCTACTGGGCTTGGTATGCCTGACGGCATTACTTTCGCTAAGAGTATGTACAGTCCCACCCGTGTGCCATGTAGCTGCATTATTATCCCAAATGCAACTTTCTCTTTTCTTCGCAGCAACTATCTCACATCAGTATTAAAAAGAATACTCCAACCACACGCATACTTAAGAGATTGCTTTGGTATATCAGCATCTCACGCAATGCTCTAGTTGTGTTCCTCTGCAGTTTGGGCACATTCCTTTGGGTAAAACAACGCTCCGCGGAGGCAATCCCATATGCACTCACCGCAAAGGTGAATTCCGCTCAACTGGAATTGCATTTGCCACCATTCGCCTTCGACTACAAAAACACTACCTATATGTTTTCTGACATCGTTAGCGAATTGGGCAGCGGCATTATTGTGGTGCCGATTGTGGCCATATTAGCAAACGTGGCTATTGCAAAAGCATTCGGTTAGTTCAGTAAAAAAAAAAACTTTAATCAAAATATAATTTATTTGTTATAAAATTGATGTCTTTTTCGTAATCGGCAGTGAAGGACAATCGCTTGGAGGCTTCGCAGGAAATGCTTACACTTGGCATTTGTAACTTGGCTGGTTCATTCTTCAACTGCATACCAACTTGTGGCGCATTCACGCGTTCCGCTGTCAGTCAGGCCAGTGGTGTGCGCACTCCGCTTTGTGGTATTTACACAGGTTAGTTGTAGGAGGAAGAAATGTTCAAAACTGAAAATATTTTACTGTCTTACATATATTTTTTATAGCTTTAATGGTATACCTGGCACTCACCGTACTCACTCCCTACTTTGGTTATATACCAAAGTCGTCGATTTCTGCGGTACTCATTGCTGCTGTCGTGTTTATGGTGAGTTAATATTCGTTTTTGATTTTAATTTTTACAAGTTATTGGAGTAAAATTCTGAAATTATTTATCTTGGTGCATTGCTTTGCAATAGTACGTGTGCTTTTTTCTGGTATTGAAATTGATATGTTTAAACTAAAGCTTAAGTTTTGAATTAGGTTCAAAATATCAAAAATAAAAGGTTAGATATCCTGGCTTTCTTAGTATCAAAATAGTGTTGCGTCTTCAGAAATTGGCTTGAAAATTGTAGCCTACCTGAAAGATAGTAATAGTATAGTTTTTGTAATAGAAATATTATAGTTTTTGTACAGTTTATTTCATTATAACGGAAAAAAATTATACCAAATACTAAAAATAGCCAAATAACGGTTATATTTGACCGAAACATAAAAGGATCGGTCCTTCGGTCGGAGTCACAGCCGCTGAACTTAAACGTAGACTACGTGATATTATTAAGATCACATTCAAGTTAAAAACGGTACATGAAATATTTGTTTTGTTTGTGTTGAATTGAATTTTATAAATCAATATGAATTGCAAAATATTAATTCTTAGCGATAGAGAAGCAGATCAACATTAACTTCAGTCATATACCATGACGTGTATCCCTACTATGATTAATTTTTATTTCCTTTCATACTGCATAATTCATTTGACTTATTAAATAATTTGAGTTTAACTCTTTAATGTTATAAATGCTGAGACTAAATTTTTCTTAATACTCCTTCGTTTGACGCCAATATTTCACAATTCATGCATAATTCAACTTAATTCGACTTTTCAAACAGATGGCAATCCTGTTGAAATAATTTTTAAACCAAAACCTCGTTAAACCTTTTTCGTCTGACACTTGTATTGTGATACATATTTAAATTATCTAATATTCTTAATTCAATTAGAATCTAATTATAAAAGCAAAAGCAATTCAAGGCAATTTTGATTTATTATCACATTAAAGCAGTTTATTTAACTTATTGCTTGTACTGAATCTAACTTTGTAACAAGGTGGCAACCCTCTGCAAAATATTTTCAAACCACAATCTCTTTCGTCTGGCATCCATATCAGGATATACATTTCAATTTTCTGACTTTATTTAAGCCTAACTTGCTTTTTAAAACAGGTGGCAAACCCCTGCATACAATTAAAAAATAACGACTTTTCAAAACCATTTCGATCGATACTCATAGTGTTATAATTGATTTAACATAAAAATTATTCGAATTTAATTTTTTATCAGGTGGCAACTCTTTTTGAAAAAGTAAGAAGTTATTGCGCATCCACAGGTATTTTAATTGGATACCTCATTTTGTAAAATCGAACGATCTGATGTGAAGAAAAAGTTTTCGCGTATTATGCATTCATATGCACATATGTACATACATACATACATAGATTACTAAAAGAAAAACAAATCCACATTAACTGCAATCAGCATATGTACGTACGTATTTATGTATTTACATACATACGCTGCGATTAGGTTATAAATATTGCACCCTCTGTTACTCAAAAGCCGAAATACCTACACACATACTTTCTGTCTCCGTGTTTGCAAAATGATGGCGAAGTGATTTTGTATGGGAAATCATTTATGTCCATATAATCGAATCAAATAAACATGCTTAGAAGATATCAACCAAAACTTCCATATACTAAACTAAAGGAAAAAACTTGAGTTTTTTGTTAAAGAAAACAAAAACAAAATCATTTGAGCGATTTTTTTCAAAAAACTGTTTGCCCTAAAATGCTCAATTTTTGTCGAATTTACAAAAAATTGGTACACAGTAATATTTTTATTCCTAAAGGGACCCATATCCCGAAAAGTAATATCTGCAAATCATAAGTTGCTAGAGCACTTTAAAAGTTTCAAATTTACCTCAAAATAAGCCAATATTTACCATTGTTTCTACGACAGACACCGAATTGGCTACTTACAGAAATGTATCTGCCGATAGGTTTTGAAGTTTGTCTTTGAAACGCCATAGTTTTCTTTGAAATCGCTTTACTAGTTCGCGTGCAATAAACGTTTATGTGAAGCTCTAAAAATTACAACTACAACATTTGAGCATAGCCTCCATATCGAAACGTACGACATATTCTTCGTCAAAAATAAAAAAATACGATATTGTGTTGATCTAACAATAAACATCTTGGTATTGGCGGTCATTTTCTGTCCCTCAATAAAATATAAAAAGATTTCAAAATACGAAATAACGGCACCGCCTCTTTGCCAACGTGTTTGTAAATCTCAGCCGCATTGGTCGTATTTAGGGAACTTGCCCGGTCTTTAAATTTGTCGGTAAATCGCTCTAATATTCCTACTTATTATATTATATTATTATTTCAGGCCTTAAGTTTATCTATCAAGCTCAATTACTTGACTCTCTCAGAAAGCGTACAGCGATCACCTCATTTGGAGGGAATTTTTTCCGGTGGTTTCTTATACTTACTAATGAACAAGACGATTTTCGTGTTAAAAGTATTTACAATGGATCCAGAATCCTCATAGACAGAACGTAATTACTTTGGATGGTGGCAATGTCATACTCTACCGTGATAGATATGTTGCAGATCGTGCGGTGTATAAGATTAATTATATCGGCTTTTTTACTAGCAGGAAGCATCGAAAGCCAAACCCCGTCATTGTGAGACTTTAACCCAAACTAAACCTCCTACCGTCTAACTACCAAACTCACCGGTTTGAGCGCGGAACTCCAGGTTCGTTACGAGCCTAACGCAGTTCGTTGAAAAGTTGCATCAACTTGGAACAGTCCTCTGTGTTATTTTAAGATAAGATACAAGAAACCACCTTAGTGAGGTCTGTTTGTACCCTTCGCCATAGTCACGTTCGTCAACGCCTCTAACCTTCTTCTCACCTTGTCTTTTGGTGTATCTCTACAATGGCCGTATTAACTGCATTTCAAGCTTTTTTTGAGCTCAACACGATATCAACTAGGTTGTCTGTATTGCCTCAAAACGTGGGAAGACAAATATGATGTTTTCCACCTCGTCCACCTCTTGACACCTTGGATATAGGGGAAAGTCATCCAGACCGAAGCGATGTCAAAATTAATATCGGTTTATAAATCGTTATTCGTTATGAGAGAGTTTGGAGAACGCTTAAAATTAAAACTGGAGAATAATTAAGTTAATCTGGCTGGATGTGCCACATATTGATCGTTTAGTGTCCAGAGGTACCAGACGAAGAGTAGACTTTTAGTAGGCGTATTTTACGATGCCAACGCCTTTACTGAGTCTAACGGGTGCTTGGAGTATCTTCAAGTTTTCCTAAGTAGCCATTAGGTACTTAAGATGGGTTCATGTTAAAAATTTAAGATACGAGAATTTATATTTTATTGAAGATTTTTTGTAAATAGATCGCTGAAACGGCTTTACATCAGAAAACTTGCTTTACTATCTTTTATTATAACATTTAAACGCTCTCAAGTAGGAGAGGAAACTTCAGCACACATTTAAGAGAGTATTTTTAAGGCTCTCTGACTTAAAACCAATTTATTTTGAACGTCTGGGTCAATTAAATCAAAAGCGATATTATTGGTACTAGATCAGGAGACTTTCGTTTTTTTGAAGCTAAGAAACTTAGATGGCCCGTGAGGTTCTTTCATATGCAAGCTACATCGACTCTACTCACATAAACTCCCACAGCCTTTCAAGGTAACAAATACCATTCATTTTCCATACGCTGTTGTCTTTCAGATTGACTTCTCACCCATTAAAACCCTCTGGAATAGCAACAAAAAGGATTTCTTCAGTTGGGTTGGATGCTTCATTGTTTGTCTCTTTGCTGGCGTGCAAACGGGTCTATGCTTTGGCATCGTACTTAACATGGTATTCGTATTTCTACGACTGGGTAATCCTAAGGTGGATGTAACGCTGATGGAGGTAAGTGGAAACGAAGAAACTTTGATAGCTTCGTAGAAAATAAAATGGATATTTATACATAAACTGGTTCCTCTGTACTCATGATTTAGATCGAAAGCCGCAACTACATATTCGTCAGTCCCACTTCCGATGTCTACTATTCGGGTATTGAATATATACGCGATAAAATCAACGATGCTTGTCTGCTGTATCGAGATGATTTCCCAGTTGTATTGGACTGCCGTCGCTTCGTCCAATTCGATGCCACCTTCGTCGATGTCCTCAATGCTTTGGCTAAAGAGTTGGAGGGTCGTAGTGTGCTATTAGTGCTGTACGGTGTGAACAAGGATTTGCTACAGCTAATGCATAAATCCAGTAATATCAATTTTTGTGACGGCAGACGCATTTGTTCTGATGATATAACGCCAAAGAAACCAGAATTTGACGGTAATGGAAAATAAATACATAGATGGAAACAAGATATAAAATGAGCTGACTTTATACCAAATATCGATAGAAAACAAAAGGAAATAGGTGAAAAAGTCCTTCGAGTACATGCTGGTGTACATAAAAGTGATTTCAACGCGTACCTCATCACCTAAAAAATTGTGCGACTATTTCATTTACGTAGGCACACTCTTTCAACA